TAAGCATGTTTTTAAAAAGGTGTTACATATTCTGTCACGTTTTTAATCACTTTTCATGTTTTTAATTAGCAATCACGGCTTTCCGCAATGACAACATAAAATGATTACTGAGACAAATATTGAACCAAAATAGTATAGGGAACGTAGTTTAGAAAAAAAACTCCTAGAAGCAAAAAATGCGTATTTTACATCAACTTTAGCAAAAAACAACAATTTTTTCAAAATTTTCACTTTTTCATATCATATGGGTCTCACCACGAAAAATTTGAAGTTTAATGAAAGCTGCCAGATTCACTTCTCTTTCATGAAAAACTTATTTAAAGTCATTTCCAACGATAGTTAAATCAAATAATAACATTTTTTGTATTTTTTGTCATTATTTGGGTCTCACCACGAAAACATGAACTTTGATAAAAGCAGCCAATATTCATTTTTCTATCATCTAAGACTTACTTTACACCTTTTACGATAGTATTTAAGTTTAATTACTTCGATTTTTTAATCCTTTTTTGTCACACTTTGGGTCTCACCGCGAAAACATTAAGTTCCAAAAAATGTTCATTTTTGCCGAAAAAATTGATTTGTCGTATCTAAACCGTATTTTACATTATAATAATTTTTTTCTGTTTTTTTTATTCTTAAATTGGTCCCACCACGAAAACGTGTGTTTTATAATATATCTCATTAACCCTCCCCCCCCCCTCCCCTTCCTTACTTATAATTCCGTAATAAACGGAAGAAAAGCGGCCTAACCCAATAAAAACCATTAACCTCGGCTGCCAATTTACACTAGAACCCAAATTTACTGTGAAAAGTTGTAAAAAGACCGCCGGCCCGATGTTATTTTTGCCATAGTAACGTGTGTGCTAGTATTGTAAATATTGTAACATACGTGACGGTTCGAACCGCAAATTGACTGGTATTAATAACTATGTCAATTAAGGCGCAATATCACGTGTTTGGCGGTAAAAGTGCTTTACTTTGGAAATATTTGAGTAGAAGGGGAAGGTAGGGTGGTGTGGAAATGTAGATACTACAAATCGTAGTATCAATCGTATTTTACAATACCGTAACTTTATATGCTCAACCCTACATTATCCCACCCCATCCTACAGCTACCCTACCCCACCCTACCCTACCCTACCCTACCCTACCCTTCCTTAACCTATCCTACCTTACTCTGCTCCTCTGCCCTGCCCTTCTACTGTACTCTTGTAATACCATGTCTACAACCCTACTGAGACCTCGGGATACCGCAACTCAGCAGTAGCCTAAGCTAACCTTTCATTATCTTACTGTAGAGAAGGTTTAAGGCCCCTACTCGTCCCTCTCGTATAATACCAAACCCTACAGTATCATATCCTACGGTAACAATGTATTACTTAAGCTATACGGCTAGCAAAACCATTATCTTACTGTAGGCTTAAAGTTATCCTACCCTACCCTATCCTACCTTACCCTATCATACCCTAGAAGTACCCTACTTTAGAAATAGTGTAAGATTTTGTACCTGCCCGACCTACTCCCCATATCATATCATACCGTAACCTTGTACTATCATAACTATAAGCCTAGCAAAACCGCCTTACTCAACCCTATCCTAACCCTACTCTAGCCTCCATCTACCCTACCACATAAAAAAGTGTACGTAATCTATTACTGACCCAATAATGTAACGCCACACAAACATACAGTAAAATGCAAAGTAAAGGCGGAGCCAGTCTGCCATTTTTAATATGTTTGTTACAATTTTATTACAACATACTGCTTATAATAATTGAAATTTCAAGTACGAATTTAAGTATGACAAGTGATATTTTGAAAGATCAAGTAGAGCATGATATTACAGTAGGTATTACATTCGGCACGAGTCCAAAAACTTGAAATAAGATAACGTAAAAATGGTAAGAACTTAGTTTACAACACAGAAAATGACAAGAACTTTCTTTACAAAATACCACATTGCAAAAACTTTCTTTACAAGCACAAAAAATGCTTGTTGTCGTATAAGTTGTCACACGTAGCCTGCAGAACCATAAAATAGTCTATATTGGTAAAAATCGCAAGAACTTTCTTTACAAAACAAAAAATAGCAACAACTTTCTTTTCAAGACAGAAAATGGCAAGAACTTTATTTACAAAACAAAAAATGGCAAGAACTTTCGTTACTGAGCCAAAAGACCTCTACTTCACAACAATAACAACCCCAACCTACCACCAAAAACATATAACTGTAACCATAACTGCCATTATTTATACTACCCCGACTACAAAACGTTTGTTTTTTATTACGCCAATTGTAAAACCTACAATTTTTGTTATTGTATGTTCAAAGTCCTCGAAAATAACAAAAATAAAGCGTTTTGATTGAGAAATGAAGGCCATACATAACATAATATACCTCAAGATAACATCAACGGATTAAAAATGTAGCTTGGAATGTAGTGAAAACAAAGTGAAATACTATCAAAAATAGGTTTCATCACTACCGTAAACGTTTAAACATGTTCTTTAGATTTTAATTAGGTAATTCATTATCGACCAGCCGCAAATGTTTCATCGTATAAAATGTCACTTTAAAAAAAATTAATGTAAAATACGCTAAAAACGATTAGAGTTAACTGTTTCTTCAAGCTAAAGATTTTTTTGCTTTTGGCATAACGGGACATGTTCCATCGTATAACATGTCACCCGCAGGCTGCAGACAGAATAAATTGTTAAAAATTGCGTTGAAACGTGATTTAAAGTTGCTAAATATGAAAAAATTTTAAACAATCTTACCTTAAATTAATTTCGTTAAAAAATTTTCAAAAAAACACTCATTTTTGTAAAAAGTGACATGTTATACGATGAAACATGTCCGAACAACAAAAATTTAAAAAACCTAAAATTTTATAACTTTTATCAACCTCTTTATCAAATTTGAGTCATTTTTAACCCTGTCAAATTCATTTTCCAAAAAAAAGTGACTTGTTATACGATAAAAGATGTCCCAGACAAAAGCTGCGCCCATGCCTTAAAAATACTTCAAACCCAAAAAGTCTAACTAAATGACGCAGAGAGGGTTCAAATTCTATTAATAATTAAAGTCAAGGTCTTGGAAAACCAATTACAATTGAGTTTGAAGTAATTAAGATTAAGCACTAGTGTAACCCAAAGTAATTGTTAATAGTAATGTAGACCCGCAATAATAAAGTAAATTGTTTATGGCAGTAAAAAACACCTGTTATCCCCTCCCCTTCTTAAAAAATTTAAAAAAAGGTTGAAAAAACTGGGTCAAAAAGGCAAAATGTTACCTAAAGTTACAATTTTACATTACTGCAACACTTTACTGCGGTAAAAATGTAACAAAAGTCTAGGTTGATATAGAGTAAAGTAAGTTGGATATTTAAAAGTTTCTTGGGTTCAACTGATGCCTTGTATCACGTGAAACAATAGGAAATGTAGGTTGTGACCAAAGATAAAGGCAACATTTCTTTGATAAAATACAAATTTTAGGTTAGATTGTAGGCATGGTGGTTATGATTGAGTATAATTTCATGCTTATTACGTTGTAAAACGTAGAGTAGAACATATTAAAGTAGAGTACGGTAAGGTAAAGTAGGGTAGGGTAGGGTAGAATAGGGTAGGGTGGGGTAGGGTAGGGTAGGGTAGAGCATGCTATGTATGACAGGGCATGGTATCATAAAGTAGACTAGCTAGAGCGGTGTAAGGTAAGATACAGTAAAAAAGAGTAGGGTAGGGTAGTTTAGGATAGTATAAAATAGAGTAGAGCAGGGCATGATAGGACACTTTTTTTAACCATGCCAAATCGTATGCAAGCCCTGCCCTAGCATAAAGCTTTCTACCATAACTTATACCATAGCCGTCTCTAACCATAACTACCGTACTTCAACTAATGTCAATCTACCCTACCCTAGTCCACCCTACATTACCCTACAAATTAGGATACTACTATACCCCTCCCTAACAACGAAATACCACTCTACCCTACCTTACAAATCAAAATATTACTGTATCCTACCCTGAGACCCTATATTGTTGTGCCCTACCCTATGGTTACCGCTTTTTTTCATAATAATCCGCCATAATAGACCCATGAATACTCGAAACAATTTTTACCCCTCCCTCCTTCACTGTTTTCTATCACTCTACTCCCTCCAGAGCCCCCCCCCCACTTCCTCTTAAAAACCCTTTCTCTCCACCCCTCCCAATCAACCAACCAAAAGTCAATTCTCTCACATATGATCCTCAAAGTTGCGACGTCACAAGTTCAGAAAGCTCAAAATGAATCCTTTTACTTTCCCTTTATCCGTTTACAAGAGAAAACCCCTGATAAACAGACGATTACATATTACACATTCCCTGCTCCAATCTCAATTTCTTTCAATGTCAAATTAGCAGCAAAGTGGGATTAAATGGCGTTCTTGCTACGGATTAACCGACTTGCGGGTCATCTGACAGAACTTTGTAGGAATGCACCGTTTCTGTGAGGTAAAATTTGAAATTCAAAAAAAAATTGAAATTTTTCAAAAAATTTTTAAATTAAAAAAAAAATCTTTAAATTTGCAAAAATCATACAATTTTTGAAAAAAAATCGAAAAAAATTTTGGAAATTTTTTAAAAAAATTAAAAGAAACTCAAAATTATCAAACAAAATTTTAAATTTAAAAAATTAAATTCAAAATAAATTTTCAATTTTTTCATTTTTTCAAAAAAATCTCAAAAAAAAATTTAAAAATAAATAAAAAAAAATTTTTTTTTAATTTTTAATTTAAAAAAGATCCGAAATTTTCAAAAATTCTACATTTTCTAAAAAAAATTTTTTAAAAAAATTAATTTTAAAAATAAAAAATTTAAAAAAATTTAAAAAATTTTTTAAAACTTAAATTTCAAACGGATCTTTGAAAATCAAAAAAAAAATTCTACATTTTTAAAAAAATTTCTCGATTTTTAATTTTGAAATTTCAAAAAAAATTTTTTAAATATCAAAAAAAAATTTAAAAAATCCTCAAAATCCATAAAAACACCCCCTTCAAAAAGTAAAACTCACAATTCTTCCTAATGCTCCAATACAGCCCAGTACCGCTTCTTTTTGGCATCAACATTGGGGGTGGTGTATATGTTAGTCCCAGTTGATGTTTGGTGGGTGCTGCACCAACAATCGAGTTTTTGGCTGAGCGAAGTTTCGAGGCATGTTGCCAGAGGGATTGGTTTTGCTTCACCAATGGTTTGGCATTGCCTTCTCGCTTCAGGAACTCAGCCGCACTCAGCGATTGGGAACGGGTCTTGTCCGGCTTGGTGAGGTTGGTGTAGGACTTGGCTGGGAACTGAAAAAAGCGGTTAAAATAAGATTGGTTTAGCTTAAAAAGGCAATATTAAACAAGTTTTATGACTTATACAATGACAATTGACTGGTTTTCTTAATTTTCAAAAAATGAGAAAAGTCACATATTATACGACGAAACATGTCCAAGTAACGTACATCAAAAAATGTCAATTTCGATGTCATGTGAACATTTAGAACACTACCGTATTCAAGCTTTACAATTTTTACTTCTCCACTCTTTTCCAAAAGCTAAAATTTTTAAAAAAGTGACATTTTATACGATGAAACATGTCTAAGCAAAATAAATCAAACAATGCCAATTTTAAAGTCTTTGGGTCTTTATACAACTAGTTGATCTTAATTTAATACTTTTTACCCCTCTCCCTCTCCTTACAAAGCAAGACCTTCAAAAAAAGTGACATGTTATATGATGAAACATGTCCGGGTGACACAAATCAAAAACTGTCAAGTTCGATGTATTATGCACATTTAACACCCTACCTTATTCAAAATAAGTATTTTCTTACCACCGCCCCTTTCCAAAAAGCTAAAATTTTTAAAAAAAGTGACATGTTATACGATGAAACATGCCCAAGCAAGATAAATCAAAAAATGTCAATTTTAACATTATATGAAGATTTAAAGCCCTAAGATATTCAAATTTTACATTTTTACCCCTCTCCCCCTCCTTACAAAACTAAAATTTTTTAAAAACGTGACATGTTATACGATGAAAAATGTCCAAGTAACATAAGTCACAAACTGTCAAAACCTACCAGACTGTCCTTCCGATTCTCCTTTTTGTCATCAAACAGAGCAAAGCTGGTCTTCCTCACCACCGGTTGATCATATTGATTGTAGTTGAAGTTGGTGCTCTTCTTCACCTGACCATAGTTCATGTAGCCACCTGAGCTCGGTGAATGTGACGAGTTCAGTCTCATATTCGGAGCTAACGAGCTTTTGCGCCATGGTTGTTCATTAAAAGTGTCGTATCTTATTGTATCTTGTCTTAGACCTTCAGATCGTATATTACTCATGGTATCCTGGCGTCCCATAGAGTCCTGTCGTCCCATCGTATCTTGTCGATTACTGTCCATATTATGATAGCTCGGGTATTGATGGTTGAAGTAGTTCGACGGTGATACTGAACAGGACTTCTTCTGTTGTGGTACACACAGTTCGTCATTAATATGAGCATAGCTATCGGATCGAGGACCACTGTTGGTAGGGTAATATGAAGGTTGAGCTGAAGGGTCGGGTGAGATAAAGTTACCCTGAAATTTTGAAAAAAGTTTTAAAATTATAGGTTAAAGGATATGTGATGTCATAAATATTTTAAAATTTCATAAAATAGCAAGAACTTTCTTTACAATAATGAAAAATGTTTTTATTCGTATAATTTGTCATCCGCAGCCTGCAGAACCATAAAATAGACAATATTGATAAAATACGCAAGAACTTTCTTTCCATGTCAAGGAATAGCAAGAACTTTCTTTACAAATCAAAAAAATGGCAAGAACTTTCTTTAAAAATCAAAAAATGGCAAAAACTTTCTTTACAAAACAATATATTGCAAGAACTTTCTTTACAAAACAAAAAATTGCAAAAACTTTCTTACAAAACATAAAATAGCAAGAATTTTCGTTACAATAGTAAAAACGCTTTTCATTGTATAACCTGTCACCCGCAGACTGCAGAATAGAAAAAGCGTCTATTATAATATAAAAACGCAAGAACTTTCTTTACAAACCCAAAAACAAAAAATCGACTTCATGAATCCCACAACAAATTCGTATATTTTCTAAAATCCAAAAAAAAAACAAAAAATCGACCTACCTGCCCATTGTTACCAACATCAATATGAAGCTGATTGGCTCTGTAATTGTAGCCATGGTTCTGTCCTGGACTGTAGCCTTCCTGTGGAATATTGTGATTGTTCATCAGGTTTTGATTCATTTCCGACCGGTAGCTTTGACTTGTTGAGTGGTTGATTTGAGGTGGTGAACAACTGAAATTTGGCAATATTATAGTAGGTTCTTGGTGTTATAATAGATAGTTTAAAGGGTTTTCAAGGTAAAATACGGAGAAAAATCTTTCTGATGCATTAAAATTAATTTAAACATAATAAAACTTTTTATCAAAATTTGCATATAAGTTTCCGAGCTGCGCCCTATAATTTTTTTTTCAAAATTTTAAAATACCTCAAAAATTAAAATTTTTTAAAAATGAAGCAAGTGAAATTTATACCTAAAAAAATTTTCAATTTTACAAACTTTTTTCCAAGCTGCGCCCTACAAAATTAATTAAAAATTTTTTTTTAAATTTTCAAAAATTTTAACCAAAAACAATAAAAGCAAGGTAAAAAACACAAAAGTAAAGTGAACGTTGCAACCAACCCCCACGGTAAATTGTTACAATATTTTTTTACAACAGGACCCATCTCTTTCCTTAACAAATATGTCTGGTTAAATGATCTTTTAACGGGTTTTTAGGTATGAAAATGGGGAAAGATAAAGAAGAACAGCAATGCTAAGGGTCGTACTAAGCCTAGAAAATAATTTTAAAAATTAAAAAATGGCAAGAACTTTCTTTACAAGCCAAAAAATCACAAAAAACGGCTTCTGGAAGACCAAAATCTACCTAAAATCTCAAGTTTTTTCGGTTTTTAGGTATGAAAATGAGACAGAATTAACAAGGAAAGCAATGTCAAAACTAATAATAAGCATAGAAAATAATTTTCAAGAATAAAAAAAGGCAAAAACTTTTTTTACAAGTCAAAAAATGGCACAAAACCTCTTCAGAGAGACCATAATCTACCTAAAATCTCAAGTTTTTTAGGTTTTTAGGTACGAAAACGGGAAAAGATAAACAAGAAAAGCAATGTCAAAGATAAAACTAAGTTCAAACAGTATTTGCAAAGCTTAAAAACAGCATGAACTTTCTTTACAAGCCCAAAAATAACAAAAAACAGCTCCCGAAAGACAAAAATATATTACCTAAAAATTGGTTTTTTCAATTTTTAAGCACAAAAACGAAAAAAAGGTAAATAAGACAAGCAATTTCAAGAAGCATACTGTCTAAAAATGTATTGTCGGTAATAAAAATGGTGAAAACTTTCTTTACAGATCAAAAAATAGCAAAAAACGTCTTCCAAAAGACCAAAATCTACCCTAAAAATCCAAGTTTTTCGATTTTTCGGTATAAAAATAGGAAAAATTAAACGAGAAAAGCAACCTCAAGGATCATACTGGGTTTAATAAATATTTTAAAAACCGTAAGAATGTCAAAAAATAGCAAGAACTTTGTTTACAGATCAAGAAATGCCAAAAAACCTTGTTTGAAAGAGAAAAATTAACCGAAAAACCCCGATTTTTTTGATGTTTAGGTATAAAAATGGGAAACAATATTAAATAAAAATAAATAACTAGTTTAAAAAAGGTTTTAAAAATAATTTACAATCTACAAAAGTAGCAAAAATTTATTTACAGATCAAAAAATGGCAAAAAACATCTTCTAGACGGCCAGAAGAGCTCAATTTGTGGGGAAAAATCACATTTTTTAAAGGGTATCCAACAAACGCTCTTTTTTAATTATACCTACCCCTATAAGTAAATATTTTTCAAAAATCGACCCTAAAAATTATTTTTTATACCAAGGCATAACCATTAATTTTTTTTGAAACCACCCCTAACAAAATTTTGTTTTTAAAATCTACCCCGCCCATCCAAAAAATCAATATTTTTAAAACAGTCCCCCCCCCCTCCCCCCCCACACCTTCCCAAAAAATTTAAATTTTTACTAAAAATCCACCCCAACTCAATATTTTTTTTCCCACCCATGCCTCTTCAAAACTACAAAAAATTGTCAAAATTGACAAGATTCCTCCTCTTGCCTTTTTCAATTTGACTTGCATAAAGTCGTAAAAACGTTGGGCGTACAAAATTATTTACAAATACTAACAAAACAATCAATAGACATCCACCCGCCCGCTTATTATTAACAGACACTTTTCCACGGTTTTCATGGTAAACAAAGTGGCTGAATGTCTTTGGTTGTGTCATACTGATGGTCAGACATCTTTAAAAATGACATTTTTTGTTATGTAAAGAAAGTTCTTGTCATTTTGGGTTTTGTAAAGAAAGTTTTTGCCTATTTGGGTTTTGTAAAGAAAGTTCTTGCCATTTTTTGTTTTCTAAAGAAAGTTCTTGCGATTTGTATCAAAATAAGCTATTTTATGATCCTGCAGGTTGCGGGTGACAACTTATACGACGAAAAGCGTTTTTTGTTTTGTAAAGAAAGTTCTTGTCAATTTGGGTTTTGTAAAGAAAGTTCTTGCTATTTTTTGTTCTGTAAAGAAAGTTCCTGCAATTTTTGGTTTTGTAAAGAAAGTTCTTGCCATTTTTTCAAAAGAAGTCATGTGTTACCCTAAAATAAAAAAGGAATATGAATTTAAAGCAAATTCGAACATCTTCTGCGTACTAGATCATATCCGGTTTCAATTACGTACATACGTAAACATATAATGGCAACAAAAAAAAAGTAAAAACACATGTTCTTTTTCAGAAATATCGACCAAAAATTAGTTTTTAAGCTCTAGCCAAAAGCTCTAGCCCAGAGCTCTAGCCCAGAGCCCCAGTTCAGAGCCCTGGTCTAGAGCCCTAGCCCAGAACCCTAGCCCAAAGCCCTAGCCCAGAGCCCTAGCCCAGAGCCCTAGCCCAGAGACCTAGCTAGAAATGACGAACGAGACAGGGTGGCTTCGACAAGACCTACCATCAAGCCGGGCCGGCTTTGACCCAAATTTAAGTCAGGCTGAACCTAAAAAATGGGTCTCGTTCTTCATGTCTAACCCTAGCCCAGACCCCTAATCCAGAGTGTAACAGCAATATATACGTTACAGAAGCTGATAATCAAAACAAACGTTTGAAGGCTGTTCAAACGTTTGAGTTCGCAGCTTGACCAAGTGTGGGTGTCAATCTTCATACAACCCTTTTGGTAAGCACAGTTGATCAAATTGAATAGTTTCTGCAGCTCAAAATATGCAAAACCTTTACTTATTTTAGAACAAACCATAGTTTTTAGTGTAAAATACGCTTTGAAAATCGATGGCAAGGATGTAAGTCACAAAAAGTTTTGTCGTTTTTCGACATTAACGGTAGTGGAAATTGTCGACAAGACCTTTGTTATGATATAAAAAGTGTTTTTAACTTCAACTCCTTATTCTACCTTATCTTAACCCACCCTACCTTAACCTACCCCACCCTGCCCTACTCTACCTTAAGTTAATCTACCTTATTTTACCCTACTTTGCCTTATTCTACCTTACCTTACGCTACCTTACCCTGCTTTACCTTGGTTAAACCCAAGTTTTTACATTTTTTAACTAAAGATGTCAAAATAACTTTACTTTAGTACATTTTCATCATAATACGACTGTGTACGTCATGCAAAATCTGCAAAAAAGAGAAAACAAGAGAAGACAACAAGGTGTCTACAATACCTATAACTTCCAAATGAACGTTTGCCACAACATAATGATAACTTCAAGTTATGACAAGACTTATTGAACGTAAAGCACTGTCAAAAATATTTGGTTTTGTAAAGAAAGTTTTTGCCATTCTTTGTAAAATATTATTTTTCTCTATAGACAACAGCCAAGGATAACGTATTATAGCTTGTTTACCTATGAAAAGGTACTTGAACCGCTTGATTAATGTACGTTTAAAGCATCGTACTTTACATGTACTAAACATTTGTCTATTACTGTGCTACTTAGAATGACCTTAGACCACTTTAAAAAAATCTTGTTAAAGCACCGCCATGAGACAATATGCTGATTTAAATTCACAACACCTGTATTTTACAATTCAAGAAAAAATGAAATTAAGCTTACATATTACCCATGCCCTGTACTATATTTTGCCTGAAAATGGCATATCTAACCTATGTATCAAAAATGTTATGACCTGTTTGTTCTGTATAACATAGCAAAAAATATACCAATTTCATAGAAAGACGTCTTCAAAACCAACATACGTTTTGATAAATAATATAATTATGACTTGTCTAGACTAGGAAGTAAAATATCAACCTTTTAATTACCCATCTGTTGGCCTACGTGTTTGATTGTAATCTTAAAAATGATTTTTTTTATTTTTCAACGCAAAACTTTCGCGGTCGTATTTTACAATGATGTAACTAACTATTTTTTACCCTACCCTACCCTACTCTACCCTACCGTACCCTACCCTACCCTACCCTACCCTACCCTACCCTACCCTACCCTACCCTACCCTACCCTACTTTACCCTACCCTCTAGCTTAAAAATTTTTCGTATCTACCTTAAAACACTTTCTCCCCAGCCCTTTCCCTAGTACTTGCCTCCTGCAATATCTACCCCCTATTCCTTCAGCTTAGCCCTATTCTAAGCTCTTTCCAAAATCCTTCTTTCCTAGCTTTACTTTAGCATCTACCCCCCCCCCTCCTACTCCTTAATTCTTTCTCTGTACCCTTCCTCTAATATCTACCCCTTTATTACTTTTACCTAACCCTTCTTATCCACCCCTCTCTCCTACAATTCTGTTTTTTAACCCTTTTTATCTAACCTATTTTGTTTCTTAACTTTTTTTAATATCTACCTCTAATTCTTTTTTCACACCCCACCCCCCCCCCTCCCGTCCTTAATTTTAATAGTTACTTTAATCTAAAGTCCATTGCCCCGTGACGTGCCCGCCTCGTAAACACGGTACTCGCAACAACACGCAAATGCAAAAATTTGAGAAAAAATAAGTGAAAGTTAAAGGCCCTCCGGGGGGTCTTCTTTTTTTCAATATTTCTCAGCCCGCTCCACTCTTTTCTCTCCGTGTTCCGCCGGCAGAAACTTTTCGCGTCGTTCGGGCTCCTGTTCCGACTTTGTCCCCACCACTTTTCAACGTTCCGTTCCCCGCCGACCCTGTTTCGAGTTTTGCTTACCCCCCGGAGGGTTTTGTTGTGGGTTTTCGTAGTTTTTCTTTTTGGCTAGCTGAGAATTAAAAAAAAAAATGTATTGTCTTTACTTTACCCCTCCCCCTATTCTGGCCTTTTTTACTTCACTTCTCCTTCACCCTGTAGACTAAAAACTAAAAAAAATTACCCCGTCCTTTATATAAAAAAGTTATCTCGCCTTTTATATAAAAAATTTACCCCGCCCTTTATATAAAAAAGTTACCCCGCCCTTTACGTAAAAAATTTACCCCGGCTTTATGTAATAAAAGTTACCTCGCTCTTTATATAAAAAAGTTACACCGCCTTTATATCAAAAATTTACCCTGCCCTTACAAGAAAATTCTGTGCCTTAGCCCTACCCTACTCTAGCACTAGCAATACCATTCTTTATTCTCACCACTGTGACCTAGCCTTCTCTGTCCCTAATATTATGTCTTCTATTGCTTTGCTTTCCTCGTACTATGCCCAATGTTCATCTCTGAACATTGTTACTTTCTCATTCAATTTTCCAAGACAAAAACCCCTCTCCCTTCAACGTCATGTTCTGGTATAAATAGTTAGATTAATGAAAACATTTCCATGGCTTAAATTAAAGCCTAATGTTTAGTAATGTGGAGAAGTGTGAGAAAAGGATTGCTACTAAAAGGCTTATATTAGTGTTGAAAATTTTCTTGTAGCAAGTCTTAGCTTTAGCCGAAGCATGAGCCTTACCCTGAGCCTGAGCTTGAGCTTGAGCCTGAGCCTGGGCCTGAGCCTGGAGGTTAGCCTGAACGTGTGCCTGAGCTTGAGCCGGAGCCTGAGGCTGAGCTTGAGTTTGAGCCTGAGCCTTAGCTTAAGCTTTAGTCTGAGCTGCAGCCTGAGCCTGTGCCTGTGGTGTGCCTGTGCCTGGGCCTGGGCCTGAGCCTGGGGTGAGCCTGGGCCTGTGCCTATGCTTGAGCCGGAGCCTGAGGTGAGCTTGAGCCTGAGCTTCAACTTTAAACTGAGTCTTATTGATAGCTTTGGTCTTAATCTTTGCCGTAAGTTTTACCCTAACTTTAAGCAGTAAGCTAAGCCTAGCCTTAGCTGTTAGCCAAAATAGTATCCAAAAATAGCACAAAAGTCCCAGAATAATTAAAATAATTACCAGTAAAGCTATAGTAACTAAACAAATAACAAAATAAAAGCGGAAAAAGCAGGTGCTAAAACTGTAAATAATTTCAGCACTGCATAAATTTAATACAAAACGTACTACTACAAGGAACTTATTAATAATTGAAAAAAGTAACACACAAGCAAGCACAGTAAATAAAACATCTTAAGAACAAAGTCTTATTACCTAAAATTAAAAAAAAATCTTCGTGCCCTAAAAAGCATAGATTATACAGTTTCTACTGTCCAAACATGCGTGTCAGTACGTATATGACTACTTGACAGTGCAACTAATTGTAATCTTAATTACTAAGCACTCCACAAACCAGGTGTGACTTCGCGAAATAAAAAACTGTTTAAGAAAAAGTCTACACGTCAATGCCATTTTGTTTCAAAACTAGGTACAAAAGAGCAAGGTTTCAACATTGAAAATTAAAAAAAAATTGTGCGTAAATAACGAAAACAATCTAGGAGAAAGCCACAAATCCTTGAACCTAAGTGCAAACCTAAGTCGAAGCTTCAGACAACGCCTGAGAAAAGTCTGCACCTGAACATGAATCTAAACTTGAGCATGAGCTTAAAATTGAACATAAAGCTGAGCTTCAGCTTAAGCGTGAATTACAGTCTGAACATGAACTTAAGCCTTAGCTTAGCCTAAGCATGAGCTCAAACTACAGCACGAGCCTGAGCATCATCATAAACCTGAGCTTAAGTATGATCCTGAACCCGAGCCTCAGCTCGAACTAGAGCTTAAGCATAAGCCTGAGTTTGAGCCTGAGTCCCGGTTTAAGTCTAAACCTGAGACTGAAACTTAGCCTTGGCTTGAGCCTAAACCAATTATTCCAAAGCGGTAGCCCTAACCTTAATTGTAACCAAAGCCAATTATACCAAAGCGGTAGCCCTAGCCTTAATTGTAACCAAAGCCTAAACCTATATGTAAGCCTAAACCCTAATATTAGCATATGCTTATGTCTAGCCTTAGCTGTGACCCTGGTGTTAGCCTAGCTTTAGCTTTATAAGCCGACCAAACTCCAAACATTCAAAAAAGATTTTTCTTTTTTTTGTCAATTTCAGTCCGGCCTTTCTCGCATTCACGTCAATTTCAGAGAAAACACTCCCGGGCTTCAAATTAACCCAAAATAAACTGCAGCGCTCCAATTTACCACAACGGAAACATGAGTCTTGTGGGCTTCATTTAACACCATATTTAGAGATAACTTTAAGGATAAACATAAAAAAACATGTGACTTGGGGTTTGTATTACATATGGTCTCTTAAGTTTAAGTTCAGGCTTAGTTTTAGTTTAAGCATGAGTTTGAGCATGATACTGATAATAAGCCAGAGCCAGATTTAAATTTAGCCCTAACCTAAGCCTAAGCCAGAGACTAAGCTTGAGCCTCAGCATAAGCCAGAGCATTGAGCTTGTGCATTAGCGTGAGCTTGAACTCTAACTTGAACCTGAGCTTCAGCATTAGTCTATGCTTGAAATTAAGCTCGAACTTGAGCTTAAGCTTGAGCCTGAGCCTAAAGTTGAGCTTGAGCACAAACTTAAACCAGAGACTAACCCTGAGACTGAGCTTGTACCTAAGCCTAAGGCTAAGCTTGAATCTGCGCTTGAGCCTAAGCCTGAGCCTGAGCTTGATCCTGAGCTTGAGCCTGAGCCTGAGCCTGAGCCTGTGTTGGACCGCACTTGGGTCGCCAACGTTCTCAGAACTTTTATGCAAATTACGAGCACTTTCCCCCTCTTCGCAAGAGAATGCGAATCAATCAGAACCTCAATCCCCGGACTCAGAGATCGGTCGGTTCTACCGTGCTCATCAACCGCGCAACAACCGGCCATATTATACTGTTCCATTGAATAAATATATCATTGTATTTTATTTGGGGATTATTCATCGTATTCCTGAGCCTGAGCCTGAGACTGAGCCTGAGCCTGATCCTGAGCCTGAGCCTGAGCCTGAGCCTGAGCTTGACCCTGAGCCTGAGCCTAAGCCTAAGCTTAACCTTAACGCTGAGCTTAAGCTTGAGCCTGAGGTTAAACTTGAGCTTGAGTTTCAGCTTAGCCTTAGCCTTACCTTAGCCTGAAAATTAGCCTTAGGCTTAACCTAAGCCTAGACCTAAGTTTAGACTTGAAGCTTGATTTAAACTTTGCGTTGTTTCTATCTCTAGCTCCAACCGTAACCTACCCTCCATATACGTCTATTTTAATCAAGGCTTAACGCTTGTTTACAACAACAAAAACACCTTCGAGTTACCAGAAATTTCCGTCGCCTTATCAATAAACAAAACTCAAAAATGTATTCGAATATGAGAAAATAATTAGTGTACTCGGCCAAATGTTCACAACGCTAGCGTGTTGTTACAATTAATAAACGTGACCAACCTATTCTTGATTATTTTTAATATTATAGTTGGGGTTATTGTTGCCTTATATTTAGTTTATGTTATTGTAGTTAGGTTTAAAAGGAAACACTCTATGCCTGGAGACCAGGCAAGTTCGGACTTGAAGCCAAAACTCGGCTTAGTGCGGGCTCCAACCCAAGGCTCAACACGGCTTCACCCCCATCGTAGACACGGGCCGGGCTGAACTAAACAAATCTGAAAAAGACAGATCAGGACATGTAAGCCCAAAGACCAAAGCCAAAACCAACAAGTAAGCCAAACCAAACAATTAGTCTTAGTTTGATCTCAACCTTATGCTAAGCCGGGCCGAACTAGACCGAAGCAAGTTTGCAAAAGATCGGGCCGAGATATGTAGACTCGTGGCCAAAATTAAGCATTGGCCTGCGGGTCTGACCAAAAAATTAAGTTCAGTCAGGCTTCGGTTTCGCTTTGCCTGTCGATACAGTCCGAATAAACTTTTATAGAGCCGATCCGAGCTAGGCCGGACCGGCACATGTAGGCAATCCGAGTCGAGCCGGCTTGCGTAGGCCCGAAGACCAAGTACAAATTAAAACCGGATCAAATTAAGTATTCCACTCTCTGCTTCCCCCCTCCCCCTACTCCCTTTACAAGTCTGCCCTACCATATGAAACCGAACTTAATACTCTAAAAGTAGCATTGTCTAGTAACCCCCCCCCCTCCCCCTCTCCCCCCCCCCTCCCCCCCCCCTTAACATCTATAATTTAAACCACATATTCCCACAGCCAAACAACTAAAAGCCATAAACCATTTTGTCCTTTGGCCAACAAGATCGTTTTTTTCCGAAATAAACACAAAAATCGCAAAAAAACGCTTTGACTTTTATCAGTAAAACAGGAAAAAAACTTTTTTTTCAGAAACTGTTTTTTTTCCAGTCGCTCTCAATTCCAATCCGATTTTACAAAGGAAAAAAGTATTAGGTGTGCTTTGGAGGTGCAAGTTTAAAATAGATAGTTTGCTGTTTACGTGGTAAAATTGCTATGGGTTAAAATAAATTTAAAAAAACGTTCTAAACTTTATTAGCTTTAGGTTTAATCAAGTTATAATCACAGTTCATATAATAAGAGCGCGAGAGCTGTCTCCGGCATTGCTTTGTCACGGCTTTAGCTTCGGCTTACATTAGATACGGTTCGGCTTTGGGTCGGCCTTGGCTGGGTTTTAGCTCGGCTCTGGCTTGGCTACAGCTTCAGCCCGGCTACGGCTCCGGCACGTTTAAGGCTTTAACACGGCTTTGATTTTAGCACGGTTTTGGCTTGACTCGGGCTTGGCTCCGGCTTGGCTCCGGCTCGGTTACGGCTTGGCTACGGCTTGGCTCCGGCTTGGCTCCGGCTTGGCTCCGGCTTGGCTCCGGCTTAGCTCCGGCTTGGCTCCGGCTTGGCTCCGGCTTTGCTTCGGCTCGGCTTTGGCTGGGTTTTAGCTCGGCTCTGGCTTGGCTACAGCTTCATCCCGACTACGGGTCCGGCACGTTTAAGGCTTTAACACGGCTCTGATTTTAGCACAGTTTTGGCTTGGCTCCGGCTTGGCTCCGGCTTGGCTCCGGCTTGGCTCCGGCTTGGCTCCGGCTTGGCTCCGGCTTTGGCTCCGGCTTTGGATCCGGCTTTGGCTCTGGTTTTGGCTCCGGCTGTGGATCTGGCTTTGGATCTGGCTTATCGGCTTGGGTCTAGGCTTTGGCTTTGGCTTTGGCTCTGGCTTTGGCGCAGCTTGGCTTACGACACGGCTCCGGCTTTGGCTTCGGCTTCAGCTCTAATTTTGACTCAATTTTATTGTGTTTTGATTGCTGTATGTTTAAAAAAAACGCTTGTCTAATTCACAATATAATTGACACAAACTTATAATGAGTCTACAACTAATTACTTTGTTTTGATGACCTTTTCAGCCATAAAACAAAGTTTAAAGATTACCAGAAAAACAACGCTGTCATTACAAACCTAGTAATTACGTTGAACAAACATGTTATATCAAGCCACAAACTTTCAAAAAATTTTTACTTTAAAAAACGTTTAAATACCAAAGTAATCTAAAACAGAAAAACAAGGTAGCAAGAAGAGATACTTTTTTGGTATAGCTATCTCCATAAAATACAAAAGTCAGGTATATAAACAGTGGTTGTTGATAGCAAAACGTGTTAACAGTTAAAACAACTTCAACCCATTTTGCAAGCAATAAACAGAGTCAATTAATTACAATTGCTGTGTGGTATTTTAATTTATCAATGTTATGATTAGAAAAATAAAGTTGTGTTTTTTTAAGTTTGCTAGGCTTATATTGTTCTGACTACATTGGAAATACCTCTGGTTCCGAAGCTGACGTTAAAGCCGGAGCCAAAACCGCCAGAAAACGTTAAATTTCAATACTAAACAGACTTAGCGCAACTCCAGCCTCAAGTTGCAGCTGGAGTAAAAAACCGCTGGTGTGCGTTGGTAGCGCAGTGGCTATAGCGCCGCTTGCTACTCGGAAAGACCTTGGTTCGACCCTCGTCCGATCAACTTAAGCGCCTTGAGAAATGGGTTGTGCTCAGTGCACGGGGACTAGGCACATCTATACTTGGCCTACACAAGTACATGATTGAACGCCAGGAGTCTTATGGAGCACCTCATCCACGACTCAGTGAAGCGAGTAACAGTGAAATACCTGGGAAGACGCCCAATTATGGGAAACGTCAGACTCAAGGATAGCTCCGTTGATCTTCATCTGAACCTTGAACATCCTTCCACATCAGCACAATACGTTACAATCTACGGCATAAAACTACTAATCAATCTACATCTCCCGAATTTTAATTATAGACGCTTGAAGAATGTAAAGTAAATAAAAATAAAAAAGAACCACTGGTTTGAACCGCATTACTAAACGCAAGATTAGCCTAACCTGAACTATTCATAGTAGAAAACAAAGCTTATCACTTTATAATCATACTACAGTACTTACTCTTCCATTGGCCGGTAGTCCATGCTCCCGATTGACGTTGATAACTGTGCTTGTTGTTGCAATTGTGGTGCCTGTTGAACCATTGTTGACTCCATAGCAGCCGGCTTAGAAGCCACACTAACCTTGCGTTGCATGGATGAAATGTTATTGGGACTTGAGTTTTGGAAATTCTACAAAATTTGACATTATGAAAAGTTAAAGAACGTTCTTTGTGTGTTTTTCCTGGACCGTCCGGTCCAGATTGAAGCCTTAGCCTTAGTCTTAGTCTTAGCCTTAGCCGGCTCTAGATTCTAGACCCTATCCCTAGCCTTAACCTAAGCCTAAAGTTCTAGTCTGGAACTCTAGTCTAGAGCCCTAGTTTAAAGCCCTATCAAAAGCTCTAATCCAAAGCCATAGTCCAAAGCTCTAGTCGAAAGTCCAAGTCCAAAGCTCTAGACCTAGTCTTACTTTTAAGCTTAGCATTCAAACCTACCGCACTATCCGTAGGCGGACTAACATGTTGACCATAAGGCGAGTCCTGTTTCATGCCAACCGCTTGGGGACTCTTCCTCGGTTGTTGAGGGCTAAAACTTTTGGGTGATTGTTGAATTCGAGCTGGTAGGTTGGTCGGAGGTGGCATACTCATAGCATCGACAGATTGGACATAGTTTGGGTACAGGCTGTTTTGACTGTTGGGGTCATTACTGTAGTTTGCTTGCATGTTAGGGGAGTGTGATGACTGTTGATTGTGAGGGGAGAGGTTCATCTGCATGTGCTGTTGGGTCATGCTTTGGTTGGGCTGGGCTAGATTTTGATTAGGCTGGCTTGGATTTTGGTTTGGCTGGACTAAATTTTGGTTTGGCTGGCCTATATTGTGGTTGGGCTGGCCTAGATTTTGATTAGGCTGGCTGATACCTTGATTAGCTTGACCCATATTATGAGTAGCTTGTCCCATACTCTGCCCTAAGCCCGTCTGCATGTTCATACTGTAGTCAGGCATGCTGTCACTTCTTTTAGCGACCATTCCGGGCTGTGGAGATGTCATATTTTGGCTATATTGTTGTTGCCCACAACTTTGAAGATGGGTTTGACTGCCATAAGGCTTAACATTATTACTGTGCATGCTCCCCATGGACCCTCCAGCAGGTACTGTACCAGCAATACCTCCTGCTTGACTAGCTGAGCCTACCGGCTTTAGGTTTGGGCTGTTGCTAGAACTAATATTAGACTGGGTATTGTAGGCTGAGCTCTGAATATTGTTGTAGGTAGCTGTTGAGTTATAATTAGCGTAGTTACTTTGGTTGTTATAGCTATTAGGGGCTCTGATAGTGCTATCACAGCTAGTACTATTCAGTACCATGCTGTTTTTTCTCTGTACATCTATGTTGTTCAGTATCACGCTGTTTTTTCTTTGTACGTCGATTTGTGAGTTTTTCCGCATCGGAGGGATTACTGTACTGCACTTGCGCATTGGAAGATCATTAGGTACAACAACAGTACTACACTTCCTCATTATCTCGCTTTGAGGGTTTACTACGGTACTGCACTTCCTCATAGGCATGTCGTGTGACATCATTGGGTTGATTAGGTCTTGTGATGTTTGAGGCGTTGGCATACCTTGAGTCGTAGCCTGGTTCATCGACACACCTTGTGACGCCTGACCCATGGTCATACCCTGAGCTTGACTCATAGGGCCATCGTTCAAAGCCATCGACCTCATCTCACTGTTAGGTGGCATTATAGTACTACACTTACGCATTGAAGCCTCATTTTTCTGCATACTATGCTTCCTTATCATGTAGTTACCGTTCGGCGGTACTATAGTACTACACTTTCTCATAGGCATATCACTCATTGATGATGGCGAGTCTTGTCGACAGTACATGGAATCTGAAGATATGAAAGCTAATGTTACGCAAAGAGACTCATGGTACGTTAGACTCTTATTATAGACAACAGTATGGCAATAGAAGGTTGTTCAAATAACAATGTGCTCCTTAACTCCTAAACCTTGCTTTGAGAGAGAGCACAAAATTATATGAACGGCCTCATAGCAAATTTTGTGCAACAGACAGCATGATCTACCCTACCCTACCCTACCCTTCCCTACCCTACCCTACCCTACCCTACCCTACCCTACCCTACCCTACCCTACCCTACCCTACCCTACCCTACCCTACCCTACCCTACTACCCTACCCTACCCTACCCTACCCTACCCTACTCTACCCTACCCTACCCTGCCCTACCCTACCTTAACTTGTTCTGGTCTTCCCTATACTTACTTTAACATGCTTTAAAAAGCCTTGATGTGCCGCCCTAACGTATCCTTTAATGAGCCCTAAGGTAGTCCTAGGCCGGGTTTAGCCATAAGCTAGCTTTACTTTATCTAAATCTTTAATAAAATTTTAACGTAAGTAAAATTGCTTTTAGGTGCCCAAAGCAAAACGTATAATATATTGACAAATACACTGAACACACTACTCGATAACTTTATGAAATTTAATTAACTGGTGTATAACAGCATTACATCGCTTCATTACGACAAAAAAAAGTTGCCAAGCCTTTTTCAGTTTTAAAGTACAAAATGCTTCAGCAGTAAATACAATATTTCAAATTAACTACGTAAAAAACAGCTATTTTACAGTAGCATACAGGTGTAAACTACATCTACTGTGAAATTCGTGGCTAAAAGGTCATTTGTTTTACTACAATGTTTTAGTTCCTTAGTCTTATCTCTTAGCTTTAGGTTGAACCCGAGTTTGAAATTGAGGTATAGGCTAAGGTTGAGCTTAAGCCTGTGCATGAGCTTGAGCTTGAATCTGAGTCTAGCCTTGAGTCTGAGCTTGAGCTTGAACCAAAAGCTAAGCCTAAGCTTGAACCTGAGCCTGAGCCTGAGCCTGAACCTGAGCCTGAGTCTGAGTCTGAGTCTGAGTCTGAGTCTGAGTCTGAGTCTGAGCCTGAGTCTGAGCCTGAGCCTGAGTCTGAGCCTGAGCCTGAGCCTGAGCCTGAACCTGAGTCTGAGTCTGAGTCTGAGTCTGAGCCTGAGTCTGAGCCTGAGCCTGAGTCTGAGCCTGAGCCTGAGCCTGAGCCTGAACCTGAGCCTGAGTCTGAGTCTGAGTCTGAGTCTGAGTCTGAGTCTGAGCCTGAGCCTGAGCCTGAGCCTGAGCTTAAGCCTAAGCCTAAGTTTAAGCCTAAGCCTGAGCCTGAGCTTGCGCCTGTGTTTGAGCCTAAGCCAGGGACTAAGCCTGACCCTTAGCCTGAAACTAAGCCTGGGCTTGAGTTTAAACCCAAGCCTAAGCGTCTTAGCTTACGTACTAGCTTAAGCCCTGACTTAAGACCTAGCCTTACATGTTAGCCTTAGAGTTAAAATTAGCCCTTGCTTTAGACTTAACGTAAGCCTAAACCAATGCCAAGCCTTAAAATTCCTTTTCCAACTGACTGTAACAAAGTCAATTGTACATTTCATAAACATGACTAAAGTCGAAAAGTGTGATGATAACCAAGAGTAAGAGAAGCAAAGGTGGCCAAATGTTGTTTTTTCTGTTATGATACATATTACCAAAACATGAATACAAATGAAGACTATAACATCGCGTGTTACATTTAAAAAACGTAAAATGTAGGTTATGTTTACTATGTTATTACATACGTAAGTGTGTGTTTAAAAAGGTTTTTCTGATTTACTGTTAGTTATTAGGCTTACTTTCTGTACTGGTGTTATCTTGACTATAGTTAGCCGTATTGTTGTAGCCATGAGGATAGTAGTTGTTGTGATTATAGTCTGTTGTTGAGTAGTTTGAGTTGTCTTGGTTCATCTGTAAATGCACTTTTATTAGAAAATGTCCTAGCCCCAGAGCCCTAGCCCAGTGCCCTAGCCAAGAGCCCTAGCTTAGCGCCCTAGCCCACAGCCCTAGCCCACAGCCCTAGCCTACAGCCCTAGCCCACAGCCCTAGCTTACAGCCCTAGCCCACAGCCCTAGTCCAGACCCCTAGCCTAGAGCCCTAGCCCAGTGCCCTAGCCCAGAACCGTTGAAGTCTAGCTCGGAGTGAGACAGAAAAGATCGGGCCCACTTTCCAGGCCTGGCCTTGGTTTGTGGCCCAAAATTTAGGCCCGGTTTTTTTTTGGTTTTTTTCATGCCAGTCTAGCCTGCACAAAAAACTCTAGGCTTGGTCTATACGGCTTGTTTTTCAACCCTAGAAATAGTCCTAGTTGTAGTCCTAGCCCTAGCTATCAGCTTAAGTCCTAGTCCAGTCTTAGCTTTTAGCCCTAGTTTTATACCAAGCTCCTCATCCCCCCCCTTCAACTCTTCTGTTCTTATGCTCTCATCTTACCTTACGCTGTTTTACTCTGTCTTATTATCTTGCTTTTTCCCTACTTTTGCTACAGTCCAGTTCCCAAAATACCCTTGCCCTAGCATAATGTACTCTTATTACAAAAAATTATGGCAGCGACCCTTCATTGATGGTGAGCTTACATTTCACCGTTCTCAATATCAGTACAATCCAAAACAAGTGCCAAAACAAAATGCACGTTCCTTATACGCACATTTTTTAAATGTCACAAGTCTGAAAACACAAAATATTTACAACTTTCAAAACACACTGTAAATAATATTCGTATACGGAAATACCGCGGTAATAAATCTGCAATAACAACATCATACTAAATACTAAAACATAACAAAAATTAATTTTTATACAATAGGGACAGGATGGCAGGGTGTAAATAACATTCATCCCCTACCCCTCCCTTCACACTTTACCCTTCCTTCTCTCTCCCTCCCCCGCCCCCCCCCCTCCTTCAAAAATACAATGTCAAAGTAATTAATTAAAGATAATGAACATCTATTGATATTATGGTTGGTGCTAAGAAGAAAATTGTCAAAAATAAGCTACATTTTTCAAATTTCTATAAACTTTTTGACCTTAAAAATACTTTTTGCTGTAAAAAAGGAAAATGGGCAAAAATTTTCTTTACAAAATAGAAAATGGCAACAACTTTCATTACAAACTAAAAAACTGTTTTCATCGTATAACTTGTCTCTCGCAGTCTGCAAAACCTAAAAAAAGCGCTCATCAACAGAAAGCGCAAGAACTTTATTCAGAAAGCAAAAAATGGCAAGAACTTTCTTTACAAAACAATAAATGGCAAAAACTTTCTTTACAAACTAAAAGTAACAAGAACTTTCTTTACAAAACATGAAATGGCAATAACTTTCTTTACAAATCAAAAAATGGCTATAACTTTCTTTACAAAACAAAAAATGGCCAAACCTTTCTTTACAAAACATAAGATTGGCAAGAACTTTCTTTACAAAATATAAGATTGGCAAGAACTTTCTTTACAAAGCAAAAAATGACATTAACTCGCTTCTTAAAAAATGGCAAAAAATTTCATTAAAACAAAATAATTTTTTTATAGTTTGTCATCTACAGCCTGCAAAGCTTTTCAGTATCTTAGTTTTAATAAAAGCAAGAAATTTTGTTCCAAACCAAAAAAAAAATTAAAATTTTAAAAATTCTGTAAAATTTCAAAAAATTTAAGTTTTTTGCCCGCAGGCCAAAAAAGAAAAAACAAGTTCTAACATTGTTAGTTACCTATTTATCAACAGCTTTTTTAATTCTCAAATATAAAAAAGCAAAAAGTGTTAATACAACTAATATACTCCTTCACGCAGCCGGCTGTCACGAGAGTTGTGGAAAAAGGAACAGATTAAAAGCGGCACAATTATTTTTGGGTTTGATTGCTCGAGATTTGGCACCAAGGATTAGACGAAGAGATTAGTCGAAACATTTTTTTTTTTGATATTACTACACTACAACGGTGCAGTACTCACAAGTAGAGTACCCTACCAGCCCACCTCAGAATCAGTTCAAACTTTTTATATAAATTCCTTGTACCACCTAATAGTACCTATAATCAATTTGAGCTTGCGCTTTTGAGTTTTTTATTTGAAATATTTTGGTTTTCCGTTAATTTGCCAAGTTTGGCATTGTGTTTCAAGCACTTTGTTCGACTTTTCAGACAAGATACGCTTACAAATTTAAAAAAGTAGGTTCATTTAAAGGTATTCTACTAGTATACTAAAGAAAAATTATTAAAAGTCCAAAAATGACAAAGTTACAAGCTTGAAACACAATGCCAAGTTGGCGGAAAATTCAAAATGTAGTTTTTTGATATCGATTCTCCCGATATTTCCTTGAAAGGGCAATTTAGTACTTTGCTGAAGACCTTATATTTACATGATCTTTCTGTATAAAAAGTTTGAAGTCAATCAGAGCGGGCAGGTCGGGCACTTCCTTTGCAAGGCTTGCCTACATGGCCGGCCGGGGACTTTGTCATACAGTCACCTAAAAAGTACTTAAACCATGTAGTTTTATGACACTCGTAATTTTTTGAATTCTACGTAATGTCTACTACAATATGCTTTCAGATCTCTGATTAACATAACTTTGAAAGCAGTAATTAGCAAAGCTTTATATGTTATGTTTCTTACTAAACATGTATGTGAATATTAAACCTGAAGGATTTGTAAACATATTATTTATACGTGTTAGAATACATAAGGCGATAGTAACATACATAGTACAATTTTGTAAAATACGTGTTTCGTTCTTTACAAGACAAAAAATAGCAAGAACTTTCCTTACAAAACCAAAAATGGCAAGAACTTTCTTTACAAAACAAAAAATGACAAGAACTTTCTTTACAAAACTAAAAATGGCAAGAACTTTCTTTACAAAACAAAAAATGACAAGAACTTTCTTTACAAAACTAAAAATGGCAAGAACTTTCTTTACAAAACAAAAAATGGCACTTTGTAAGTTTAAAGGAAGTAACATCACTTTCACGTCTCAAAGTAAGTACATTGTACTTATAACTCTGTTATTATATACATACTATGAGTACAAGTTTGATGATTACCCATTCTTTTTGGAACGTCATCGACCGTTCGTAACGTTATTATTATTGTTTGTTAATTAAAAAAAATTTTATATTTTTTTGTTTGTTAACACTTTGCCATGCCCTTTAGATTTGTCACACACTTCTTTGTCTTCGTTTGCATTAGGAAGAGATAACCGACCATATTTATCTGAAAGATAAACGGTCGTAAATCTCTGGGCTTAATACGAATGTAAACAATATAAAACCCTACCCCTACCCTACCCTACCCTACCCTACCCTACCCTACCCTACCCTACCCTACCCTACCCTACCCTACCCTACCCTACCCTACCTTATCCTACCCTACCCTACTCTACCCTACCCTACCTAATAGTCCTCCGTAATAACCCTGCGCTACCCGGTACTGCTCGATCATGCCCAACTTTGTTTTGACTGACCGTGCTCTGACCTGCACCTTACCCTATCCTGTCCTGCCAGACTTTACTCTGCCATTATTTTTTGCTTTGTACTTCTTTGCTTATATCTGATATACCCTGTCTCACCTTGTAATGTTTATTTTTACCCAACCCTGCCCTAACCAACTCTCTCGACTTGACCTACCTTGTACTCCCAGACGCTGCCCTGCCTTTTCCCTTCTGCCTTGTCCGTCTTTGCTTGTTTGCTTGACACTGCTCTACTCTGCCTCACCTTGTACTGCTTAACCCTATCCAACACTGCCCTAATCAACCCTCTCTATCCTCCCCAACCTTGTCCTACCATACCCTATCTTTTCAATATCAAAATCCGCCCAAAGCCAAAAATAGATTCAAAATTTTAACTTTGAAAAGTCTTTTTCACATGCAAAAAGAAACAAACATTAAAAATTGGAAGAGTATTCATTTGGAAGCCATTTAATATATTCAGTGTAACATGTGTTGAAGATAAAATTACCAAAAAATAAACATTATACACTACATTTGAAAAGGCAAAATTCGGTCTGACTTCAAAGCCCTAATCAAATTATGCTAATCAACCGGCATTCGCTATCTTACACTTGAGTGATGTTATTATGAGGTAGGGTTTTTATGTGAACATCGTATTTGAGTTGATAATGTAAATTATTAGCTAAAAATAGAAGAATAGGAGGTCAAGGCTAAGGCAATAGAAGGATAGAAAGTTAAGGATAGGGCTTAAAAAGACAATTTAAGATAAGTTTTGTATTTTTTTTGTTTTGTAAGGAAAGTTTTTGCCATTTATTGTTTTGTAAAGAAAGTTCTTGCCATTTTTTGTTTTGTAAAGAAAGTTTTTGCCATTTTTCATCTTGTAAAGAAACTTCTTGCTACTTCTTGTTTTGTAAACAAAGCTCTTGTTATTTTTTGTGTTGTAAAGAAAGTTCTTGCCATTTTTTATTTTGTAATGAAAGCTTTTGTCATTATATACAAGAAAATTATTTAAACTTTAGTACAGAGATACATTAATCAAATAAAAACGATAATCAAGTTGTCTAAAGAATGTAAAACAATTAAAATTCAAACCTTTTTTTATAGATTTAATGAAAGTGTAAAATTCGACATTTCAAAGTGTAAAACACTGTTAATCCAACAATATTTACGTGTTTGCAGATTCACAAAGATACTACTAAAATATGTATGATAATACGCACAAAAATACGTCAAATTATAAAACAAAAACGAGAACGTCAGTAAGAACGACCGTTTATATTTGGCACTATTTATAAACTCGCCTTGCCTTGCCTTGTTTTGCCTTGCCTTGCCTTGCCTTAACCATCTGTGCAATAACATCCTACAGTACTCAAACACCTATCCCAGCCCATCTTAGGCCAGCCCAGCCCAGCCCAGCCCAGACCAGCCCATCCCAGATTAGCCCAGCTTAGCCCAGCCCAGCCCAACCAAGCCCATCTTAGCCCAGC